TTGGGGAGGGGGAGGGGCACGGGTAGGGGTAGGGGAGGGGGGAGGAATGACAGATGAAATGAAGTGATAAAGAAGTCACAAAGCCATGGTTAACTTCAATCTAATTATAATGTAATACAATAATTTATATCAACAACATCCTAGACATTACACCAAACGGCCGACGACCCAATGACACAACACAGCACACTGCCCTTATCACTGCTATATTATTATACATTATTAACCCGTTTCGTACTAGGTCTGAGTCAGACGCCAAATGCCGATGATCTTGTATCTTATACCAGACGCTGAAAGAGTTAAATCCAATGGTACTCCGATCTGCCTCATTATAGGCTTCAAATAAAAATGCAAATTGGTTTCCAGCAGAAAATTATCACTAAAATAGGTACATGTATATTATGTAATTGCACCTACGTAGGTTTGTATGAAATATGATTTTAAAAAACCAAATATTATTATTTCGACAACAGTTTTGTTTCTTTGTCATAAAAAACCCCAAACAACAACTATAAAAAGGTAAGTACTATTTAACTGGAAAGGACCCCAGAACCTTGCTTTATTCTTTTTACCAGACTTTAGTTTACAGATAAAAAATAACAAATTGTTCAGCCTTTTTTACGAAACCGAAGACGGAAAATTAAGGCCAGATTGTTTTGGAAGCTTTTTAAAAGATTAAGCCTTGATAAAAACTTCCTCCCACCTCACAGATGACAATTTTCAGCTTGTAAATCGATAGAATACAACACTATTCGACCCAGTAACAAGACATGATGACGTATCCATGGTCTGACCCAGTTTAACGACATGTATCTGTTATTGGTAGTAGGATCCAAAAGGAAGGCGGGTGCTGTTGGGAGGACTGGGTTGTGGGTTGTGTTAAGGACATGGGGATATATGCTGACCAACACAAGTGGGCGAGGAGGGCTGAGGTACACGGTCATGGGGCCATCAGTTGAAATAAAATAAAGGCATGTTGTTCATGTTATAGGTGACCTTTACTTGACAAAACATAAGTATACATACAATGCAATATGGTATTCAGTGTTAATTAACAGAGATGAAACACGAAACATTGTTATATTTTTTTCTTTAGCTTGCCGTTCTCGAAAAGCCGAATAAACCTCCTGGTAAAGTACCTTACAGTTCAGATGGTCTCATCGTCTATACTCAACGATAGAAGTCACAAGCGTTGTCATTTAGTAGCCACCCCCCCCCCCACCCACCCAACTATGTACAAACCTGAACAAGGTGAGACATAACACAAGAGGAAAAAACACCGAAGCGCCAGAGCCAAATATAATAACCAGGAAGATAAAGCAGTTTTCTTTCTGATGCTTGTGCTACACACTGTATTGCGTGAAAGAATGACAGAAAACGACACGTTTGTTCTTCAAAACAAGCCAACACCCACGATAGGTTTGCAAAAAAGGGACTGTCAGTTTTTTAGTACATTTTTGGGGCGGCATTGTGAATGGGTGATCCCTTTTCCAACAGCTCTTTGAAGATTTGAGCCAAACAATATTTCTAAAATTGAAATCAAGCATGACGGCTGTGCATTAGTTTGCTGTCCAAACCATTAATGAAGTACAACCTTGGCCTTCGCAAGTCGTTAAAATGAGAAAAAATATCAACATGAACAAAAATCAATACTGCTAAAACAGACCACCCAAAGGCAGTCAATCGGGGACAAATTAATGTGCACGGCCTTTCAGTTCAAATTCACAACTTGTTCTCCGGAGGAAGAAGCTTCCTTTAAGTGTTACAAACCGAAGCTTACGAAAAATAAGACATTCACACAGAGGCACATTTTGTGTTTGAGATATCAATAAGGTACAACACGAGGAACAAAGTTACGCATCGAAAGGAATGGTGAAACGTTCACATGAACAATGAATATACATGTACTGGTCAAATGAAATGCTTCTTTTCTCCACAGCTCTCTTATCTTATGACAATCAACAGCCACCTACTCCAGCACTCTCTCTCTCTCTCTCTCTCTCTCTCTCTCTCTCTCTCTCTCTCTCTCTCTCTCTCTCTCTCTCTCTCAAAAAAAATACAACCTTAAGTCGTCAGGAAGCATGCCTTTGGATTGTTGACATGGCACTCGTTAAGGTGGGGTGGAGAGTCAGGGAAAAAGGTGGGGAAAGTTGAACAGGTTGGACAGTGTGGACAACAATGTCACAGTGATGATAAACCCAGTCGGTAAGATTGAATGACTGAGCCGATCATGCCATGGAAAGGAGTTTTCCAAACTCTGGTGTCACAGGGTGATCCCTTGCAAAAGCATAATGGAGAGAAAACGAACGTTAATTATGAATACCACCATTCGTTAAGCACGATAGGATGTCATAGCTGTGTTTCCCTCTGGGATAATAAAGTATTTTCTTATCTTATCTTATCTTTTTATCATAATAAAAAACACCTCGCTGAAGATGAATAAAACAGAATTAATTCATTGTCTTCTACGGCAGCATTGGGGTTGACTGTAGCCTACACTTTTTCAGCGACCGTTTACTTCAACTAATTTACTTGATTAAGCTCCCCACTACTCCCTCGCTATAAATTGATCCCCCCCCTTTAACCCCCCACCCCCCAAACAAGCTAACAGTCTATTACTTATTGCATGATACGCACCCTTGGTCACAGAGGCCAGCGGTGTTGCTGATGTTCCCTAATCCTCCTCACAGCGCAGTCATGCAAAATGGTGTGCACCTCAACCTCTTTTGTGGTAAGTCTTTCAAGAAAAAACTGTGTGTCCCAACGTGGTGGAATCAGGCACTCGTCAATTTTGGGGCACATAAGGTTATTGATATCATCTTAAAGCCAGTCTATGTTGAATAGAAGTCAAGATATTTGCAATTGAAGGAGGTAATTTGGTAATTTCCATAGCTTGAGAGTCCTTGGAAACTGGAAATTTACAGTTTTTGTGCCTTCAATCTACGTTTTCAGTAAAAATCAACACTAAAATGTGTTATTAAATGAATATAAAAGTTGTTAAGCCAAAATAGAAAATTAGAAGAAAAAAATTGCTAAAAGGCCAGAAAAATGCCAGTTTCTTTGATTTCATTATTTTGACGAGCGCCTGATTTCACCGCGATGTTTAACACATGGTTATGAAAATATTATTATGTGCAGCTTTTGTAACCTTATGGCTGACTGACAAAAAGTTTTCAATGAAGGACATTGGTTAAATATTGCCCATATCTGCACCTCTTTGCCTTGCGTACCGTTGCACCCTGTTTCTGTTTAATTTCAGACGGAACTAAAGGCATTGCTCGTTTTGTAACATGAATTAAGAACTAATAGTGGTTCTCTGAATACTGCCTGACCCTAGCAAAAGGATGGCAACCTTCATAAGCTGACAACAAAAAAACACAGGCAAAGCGTAGACAAAGGTGTGACTGGGCACACCTGATGGCACACCTGGGCAAAGCGGATTCGGCCTAGAACGGTACGACAGTTTAGAACATCACACACACAAAGTCCGCAGTTTTTCGTGTTTGAGTTGTGCAAACACACACAGTGTATAGTTTCACTCACTTCGCTCCAAATAATTCTCTGCAACAAAAAAATCACAAAGCCAAACGTTTTCAAAACTTGTTACCATGGTAACTGAAAGTAATCACACAAAGGGAAAAGAGCATTGAACAAATATTTACACACAATTTATAATATTGCAAGTGAAGAAAGAGAATCACCCTGAAGCGTACTAGGACGAAATTAAACAAAATTCAGTTTTACATTGATTCTCATTGAATATTCAGATACAGCATGCGGGACTGATCTATTGCACTTAATATAATCTCTCTCCCCCCCCCTCTCTCTCTCTCTCTCTCTCTCTCTCTCACCCCGGCTTTGTCTCTATCCCTCTCCCCTTGACTCTTTCTCTTTATTTCTCTCTCCTCCTCGGTCATTCTTTCATCCCCCCTCTTTCTCTGTATCTCACCCACGTAATATATGTACTCGAAATTGCGCACACACACAGATACACTCACCACATACACACCCACTCACACACACATACACACTCACACACGCACTCTCCCCAATCTCTGTCTCTGTCTCTGTCTCTGTCTGTCTCTCTCTCTGTCTCTCTCTCTCTCTCTCTCTGTCTCTTTCTTTCTTTCTCTCTCCTCCTCTGTCTTTCTTTCACCCCCCTCCCCTCTTTCTCTGTCTATCACCCATGTAATACAAGTACTCGAAATAGCTCAATACCCAGACACACTTACTCACACCCACACACACACTCTCACCCCCCCCCATCTCTCTCTCTCTCTCTCTCTCTCTCTCTCTCTCTCTCTCTCTCTCTCTCTCTCTCTCTCTCCGAGTGCGCGTGTCTCTCTCTTCTCCGACGGAAATGAATATGAGCAACACTGTCTTGAAACCCATGGGATGTGTAGGACGTATTATAAGAAATATAAAAGTAAAAACTTAGAAAACAGCCATGTAAGCATGCAGGGAAAAGATAATTAGGCTTAAAACAAAGGTCTGAATGAATAATAAATTACTGCTTTCTAATACACTTGCCAGGTTGGCTGAGAACTTTTAACGCTCCCGTCGACACAATCTACATAGTTAAGGGGCCCTCCTCGACTTTTCATGTCGAGATCAGCCTGGGCTGTGTGGGATACACAATCCCGCCACAAAGACAAAGATACTTGACACAATATCTCGACAATCGATCAATCTCATCTTTATCCCGATCACGACACCGTAGAAAATTACACGCGGTTTCACAATGGAAATATTTTGAGAAAAGCACATGAAAATCCGTCCCACCCCCCGTTCCACAGGGAAGAAAAGAAAGAAAGAAAGAAAGAAACTACACTTTGCCATATTATTCTGTTATATGAGGTCGTGTGGTTCCATTATGGAACTATTCTTTTAGTAAGTCTAGAAAACCACGCATCAAAAGCTGAAGTGCGCATATTCGACGAATTGTTATCCCGCTGAAAAGAAACGCACGCTTAAAAAAAAAAAAAAAAAGAAGCTAACTGAAAATAAAACGAACAAGCAAACAAACAAACAAAACAAAACAACAAAACCAATCAGTTAAAAATTGCCAAGACACTCACTTAGATATCCAAGAATTATGATCATTGTACACAGACTTAATCTTACGACAAAGTGGCTAACAATGCACTACGTACGACTCACACCGAAGACCAAGACCATTTTGGTCAGATCTCTTACCTTCCTGGGGTGTTTCGTCTTGATGAAGAATGTCTGAACCCCAAGTTTTTTTATGTAGGCATCTCGTTCCTCTCCTCGACCCGGCTCCACCTCATACTGGCCATGAAGTTGATCAAGTGTTGATTTAGTTATGTGGACACGTCTACAGGGCAAAGAAAAGTGAGGGAGAATTAGATCAACGATGGTGCAAATGGTGAAATGGTATAGGTATAACGCCTCTAGCAACATTATAAAGCTATTTAGGAGGCAGAACCTCTGAGTTTCACGCCCATCTCCGAAAGGACCGAGGAAATAGGATATTCATGTTAAGTGCCTTTCCCAAGGACACAACACCGGATCGAGCTGAGGTTCTAACCCCCAAACTCGCATTTTCACGATTACGGGTCCGGTTGCCAATCCACTTGACTATTGACACCACATCAACGATGGATGTACCCGACGTAAACTATGAAGTTACTAATGACTTGATGAAAGAATAAAGTCCATTAACAAACATTTATACAATGTATTATAATATGTCCTTTTCAACAGTCTAATATATTACACCACCTTCTCGTCGTTATCTCTCTTACCCCAACTCCCCCACCTCGTCCTGTTTCTCGTACTCTTCTTTCTCCTTCTCCCCCATCACCACCACCATCACCTCCTCCTCCTCCTCTTCCTCCCCCTCCTCCTCCTCCTCCTCCTACTCCTACTACTACTGCTACTACTA